CGTTGCTACTTCATCGCTGTCATTTTGCTACTGTTATGAATCGGGCGACCCCTGTGAAAGGGTCGTTCGGCCCCCAAAGGGGTCGTGACCCACAGGTTGAGAACCACTGCTTTAGCGGCAATAGGATACTTCTGGATTTTCCCTCTCATCTCATTTGTGATTCTCACTGACAGTGACCTGTAGGACAGGGTAGAACTGCCCCCGGAGGTTCCGAGACTGTAGCTCTTTATGGGGAGGAGTAAGGTTCATCTGTCTCTCTCGGAGTGGCTGGCTGCTTCGAACTGCTGACCTTGTGGTTGGCAGCCCAATGCACAGCTCATCTTTGCGATCAGGTAGAGCCCGACGACAAAATTGGTCTCTGTGGTGTTTTGTGCCACTTCGGACAAGTTTTGTGTCGTACCAACCTCTTTCTCTCCTCCCTCCAGGCCGGCGAAGATAACTTCATGCAGGAAACGAACCAGCACCTGGCAGCGGAGGTGAGGCTCGGGCCTTTAAGGCCACTTGGTCATCTGTAGCGAGGTGCTTTCTCTCTCAGTGACAAGGACCCTGTGTTCTCTTTCCAGGTGGGTCTGGACATCACCCACATCTGCCTCCCTCCAGACAGCGGTGAGGATGAGGTAATGTCTGCCTGGTGGTGGAAGTCACAACAGTGTAGCCGGCGGGTGGAGCCCACTTGGTGGGTCCATGGGGAAATGACCCGGTCATCTTCCGTAAAGATTCTCTCTCACTGTCACGGCCGAGTCATAGTGACCCTGTTGGACAGGTAGAACTGCCTCGGGTTGTCTAAGGCTGTAACTCACCTTTCTCCCCTGGGACCATTGGATTCTGCCACTTGGGGCGATGAGGAGTTGAAAATCAACGTGAGAACAGCTCTCCTTCACCCTCGTAGACGCTTGCTTCTCTGGGTGGGGCTGGAACAGACCCGCTGCGTGTGGGGGCTGAATTCCCGAGGGAAAGTCATCCTGTCCCTCTAGTGTAAATGGCCTTCATCACTTGGTCCTGTACGTTGAAGCCCTGGCTTTGTTATTTTGGGTGCATTTTTTCAGGGTTTGTGTTATTGGGGGTGGGGTGGGATATAAGCTCAGACTATAAGCTCTCAAGAAAGGCAGAAATTCGGTCTTTTTTGTCTTTCGCTTTTCTTTCCCTTGAGCTGGTACCAAGAAGGTGCCTAACGTGTATTTACTGGATGAGCGCACCGCTGAAACGTAACTTTCTTTCTGGTGTTTGAGTCAGGTAGCTCTTGTTGCCCCTAGACCAGCTGCCAGTGGGTCAACACCTGTGACCCCCTGCGTGCCAGAGTGGGATTGTGGTCTACAGAGTTTTCAGTGGCTGGGGTTTTTTTTTTTTCCTTCCAAGCCATCTTTGGGTGGATTTGAACCTCTAACCTTTTGGGCTAGCCACCCAGTATGTGTGATGCATACATAACTCCCTTCTACCCCCACCACGTCGTGGCACTTGCCACAGTGAGTTTCGTGTGGCTTTGAGACACAGTCAGCCAACACTTTCTGGTAGCGAGCTCCATGTGTGTGGGCTAAACTCTCTCTCACTGGCAAGCGAAGCATTTGGCGCAGTGAAAGGACTATCTTATCTCCTGGCGCAAAGCAGGAACACCCAGAGAAGGGATTGATTGCTTCATTAAAGGCATAGCCAGGCGTGAGCTTTTCCCTAAGCTTCCCAAACTGTACCTTGGCCTTTTTTTTAACAAGTAGTGAGTTCTGTCAGCGTTTGTGGTGGCAAAGGTAGCCTTTGCGGTTAGAACTGCAAGGGTTTGGATCTGCTACCCGGTGCCTCCTGCTGGCTGATGTTGGGAACTGCGGGCGAGATGAGTAAGCTCTGTCGTGCCATTGTGTCTGGGCTGGAGGCTTGGCTAGGCCAGGCTGCAGTACTTGAGACAAATGCTTATTGGCACCACCCCACGCTGGCAGCGTGTTTGGCTCCAGGCATCATTGTGGGCAGGTCTTTTGCCTCCATGAATTTTAATAACTATCGAGCTTTTGTTTGATCTTGCTTGCTTGTTTTGTTCTCCCCCCCTCCCCCACCTCCCCCCTTTCCCTTAGCTACAAGTAGAGCCAGAAGCAAGAGCCAAAGAGAAGTCACTTAAAAGTGGAGCCAGCTTTTTCCCGCCCCCTGACCTTTGACCAACAGGATGATGACAAGAAAATCATCGATTTCCTGGTGCATTACACCAAGCCTGACCCTAAGAAGGCACTAAACCCGGGGCCTTTTGACGCTTCCCTTCTTAGCTATAGTTGCTGCTTGTCGGGCTCCCCAGGCTGATGTTTGTTTCGGGGGCTTTCCTGTCTTCCTTAGATCATAGATGAGATCCTGAAGGTGAATGAGGACACCCGAGTCCACGGTCTTGCCCTTCAGATCCCTGAGAACTCGTTCAGCAACAAAGTGCTCAATGCCTTGAAGCCAGAAAAGGACGTGGACGGGTAAGGGAACGTGGACGGGAGGCTGCTGGGATGCCCACGGCTTCTGCTTGTCTCCGGTGGTCCCCGTGGCCCGAGTCCTTGTTAGTTTCGGCTCTGTCAGGAACGCCGATGAAAAGACCGTGTTGAGACACTTAACGCATTACCTGTAAACCATTTGTAAAGGTTGAGGGCGTTTCAGATCCTGTATCAGAATGTTACATCGTCCGGAAAATTCCATGCACTCGTTGGTAGTGCGTGGGCTGCTGCCCTAGCGGACTGCTATGGTCTCGGGACACCAGTGTCAATGGTTTGGTTGGGGTGACATTTGGGAAATCACCTCACCTCGGTCATCGTCATTGGAAAAGCCCCTGTCTGGTTAAGATGTCCTAGTGGTGCGGTGGGCTGAGCCTTGCGCTGCCAACCACAGAGTGGGAGGAAGCAGACCCCTGTCCTTCGGGAAAGGCGAGGCTGTGTGCTCCTTTTACGGTGACTTACAGTGTCAGGAGTCTGTATTCGGGTCACCCCATGCATGGCAGTGGGTTTGGGTTTCGGTCCGATTTACAGAGTCTTACTGAAACTCTTCTGGAAGCTCCCTGGGTGGCACAAGTGGCTGGTGCTCAGGTGCTAGAACAGGTTGGCGGTTTGAGCGCCTCGGTGGTGGGGAAGAAGCAAGGCCTGGAGGTCTGCTCTGTAAGGTCACGGCTGTGGATAACCCTGGGAGCAGCCCAGGTGTTCTCAGAAACACAGGGGACCCGGAGTCCAAGCCACCCAGTGGGCACAGGGTGGGCACAGGCTCGGTTTCTTTGTTCTTCTCTTCGTTCATCCTGCTGCCACATCAGGTGTTCAAGACCAGAGCCCTCCGGCCTGCTAGCAACCCCTGACACTTCATTAATGACACGAATGTTTATTCGATATTTGAGGTGTTCTGATGTCATGGTAGGGGGTCAGTGAGAGGCAGGAAGCTCTTCAACGGGGTAGATAAATAGCCATACTGTGGCTGTAACAATGGGCCGAAACCTAACAATCGTGAGTGGAGTGCAGCACCCGGCAGGGCTTTGTTCTCCGGTTAGCAGGGTCGCTATGGGTCAGGACCCACTCGGTGGACTCTTCACAACTGATATTGTGGTCCTGGCCTAACATGGTATGATGTAAGCTTCATGGGGCTTGGATTGTTGCCAGCGCATAGCCTGTGTTCTTATATGGAAACATGTCCCATTGTGGCCCAAGTGTGTTTAGAGGTACAAGGCTGAACGCTTAGGAGATTAGATGGCTGATCTGGTATTACTGCAGGGGCAGGGCTGAGGGGTCGGCTCAGGTCATCTTCTATGGTGACTGAGACTAAAGGGACACACAGAGGTTAAAACGCTATCACCAAAACTTCCCATCCAATCATAGGCTAATTGTAAAGGGGTCTTCGATAACGAGAAAACCTCCACAAGTTTCTGACCTTTGCTGAAAGGGAGAGAATTCAGGAGCCATTTCTAAATGGGCCCATCTTGATTCTAACTTGGGTTGAGGACATTAGCTTCACCAGATTGTTTCAGAATGTTCCAGGTGTGCACAAGGCAGGACCCGGGAGCTCTTGATTTCCCAAGGAGATATGCACTGAGGTCAAGTGGGAGTCAGACCTGTGGACTCACAAGTCTTGCTGGGTCGCTCGGATTCGCACAGTTGGGCTTGAATTTTTATCTTGATTGAGAGATCCATTTTCTCAGGGGCAAAGGGGGCCCTGTGGGGGCAGTCCGTGGTGGTTCATGAGTAGGATTCTCGGCTTCCATGGTTTGTGTAGGTTGAGCCCACCCATTAGTGCTGAGGAAGCAAGGCCTGGCAGTCTACTTCTGTAAGATCACAGCTGTGGAAATCCCTGGGAAGCCAGGTTCTCCTCTGAAACCCACGAGGCGGCCATGAGCCAGAGCCACCCAGTGGCCACAGGCTCGATTTCTTGGCTCTTTTTGATCTTTCTACCATTGCTGTTCCTGATCAGGTGCCCTTGAGGGACATCCGCTACCCCTGTGTCAGTGGAGACTTTTCTGTCCGGCGATGCTGAGCAGGTTGTAGCAGATTCTAGACTAGCAGGCACCAGGAAGAAACGTGTGGTGGTCTGACGCGAGCAGTCGGCCTGTGAAGGCCCATGGATCACAGAGGGCTGCTCCCATTGTGTGTGGGATCACCCGGTATGTGAGGCCAGGTTGACTAGAGAAACAAATCTAGGGACACTCCTTCGTGTAAGCACGATCTTTATCTCAAGGAGCAATTATATATCAATTAATATATTAAGAAAGGATCTCAGCCCAGTCCAACTCAAGTCCATCAGTCCAATACTAGTCTATCAGTCCCTCTTCAGATGCATGTGACCACATGCAATGATGCAGCGTGCAGGAAGGTCATAGGCCAGGGTGTAACGTCCTAGCGTGCAGGAAGGTCAAAGGCTGGTGGGTACAAAGTCCTGTAGATCCAAAATTTGGGGGAAAACACGACAGGGCCCAGCAGCAAGCGGGAAGGTGAAGGCAGAGAGAGGGATGGGTGGGTGCTGCGTGTGTTGGTTCCCCGACCTTCCTTATGAGAAGGCCACACCCACAAGGAGGCGGCATCAGGTTGAATACCACGCCTCCACTTTTATACATCTTCAAGTGGACATGAAATCATGTAACTACCATGTCGGAGCCAGGGAACAGTGTGGCAGCACGTAATGACACCCAGTGAGCCCTGCCGTAGCAGGCCTGCCGCCGTGTCACACGGTTTCCAGGGGTGCCATTCCGTGGTAGTCCACTGTCGTCTGCCGGCTTCCTGGGGTTGGCAGCGAACACCTGTGACTGAGGCCCTCCAAGTGGAACAGAATGCTTAGCGCCTGTCCCAACTCCCAGAGACCACACGGACATTTCTCAAGGGGCTGCCCTAAGAAACCCAGGGCCTTTATTTTTCTGTCCAATTGTTCGCATGTGCTTCATTTGTTCTATCAAACACGCCTGGTCTCATGCTAGCTGAGACCATGCTACGTTCTGGCCAGGCTTTGACTTGCCTGCTCTTCTCTTTCTGACCAGAGTGACAGATATCAACCTTGGGAAGCTGGTGCGTGGGGACGCCCATGAATGCTTCATCTCGCCGGTTGCCAGAGCCGTTATCGAACTTCTTGAAAAATCAGGTAGGATGCCCCTAGCAAAAGCAGTGCTCTTTTCTGTTTATTGGTATCGATGTTGTTGCTCAGAAACAAGGACTTGTTTCTGAAAGAGTCTCTCCGAAACCTGGAAGGACCATTCAGGGCCACCTGGAAGGACCAGTGAGGTGACCTTAAATCTCCTCCTCGTTTTTGGCGGGTGGGAGTAAAGGAGAGAGAACGGCAAACTTCAAAAGGGAGTTGGTAAAGATGATTCCTTTGCTCCCGACAAGCTGCTCCACCCGCTGTCAGGAAGCAAGTCACAGCACAATGAGAAACACTGCGGGTGTCAGTTTCTCAAGTCTGTCAGTCTGTCAGACCTAGACCTAGCTAAGGCGGACACCGAGCCTGCCTGAGACGGGGGCGAGGCTGGTGAGCAGGGGCACGGAGCAGAAAGCTTCTCGAGCCTCAGCTCACCTGTCCCCCTCCTCCGCTCTGCCGTGTCAGTGGGACTGAAATAAAAAATGTCGCCTTGGTTACTAAATGGAGCAAATCATGGTTGACTATTCATATATCTCACAGGGACCCTCGAGTGAAATCTGTGTAGAACTGCCCCTGTGAGTTTCTGTGGAAAAAAAAAAAAAGATAAATTACATGAAAACAGTTGTACGCTTTTTAAAAAAGTGAATTATAATCATGGTGACTAAAATTGGACGTACCCATTGACTATCCAAACGCCGTGATACACCGTTATTAAAGTGATGGAAAAGGAGGCAGTGGCCGGGACCAGGACTTGGGCCTGGTGGGCAGCCATGATTCAGAAGCCACCGGAGGCAGCCAGCAGCCCCACCCAGGGCTGGACTAAGAGAGCTGGATCTTTATTTCCCATGAAAAGTCAAACTCGAAAACTCAGACTCCGGCTCACCGCGACCTCATCAGACAGGGCAGGACTGCCTCTGAATTTCAGGGACAGTGGAACTGCCTCTGAATTTCCGGACGGTCACTCTGTCCGGAGGAGAAAGCGCGGTCTTCCTCCCGTGCAGCACCTGGTGGTTTCCAACTGCTGACCCTGTGCACTTCGCCCAACGAGTTCTGACCACTGCCTCCAGGCCTCCCATGGGTCGGAGTTAACTCGATGGCACTGAGTTTTGAAATTATTTCGTACGTGCAAGAGCTTTCTAAGAAGCCCTGGCAGTTCTTTGGTTAAAGTGCTTGGCTAAACAAGAGGCCGGTAGTTTGCACCCACTTGCTACTTCATGGGAGAAAGATGAATACTCTTAAAATCCCCGGGGGCAGCTCCTCTGTCCGATAAGGTCACTCACTGTGATTTGACATCGACTGGAGCAGTGGGTTCGGCTTTTTTGGTTGTTGCTGATTTTCCTTTGTTTAAAGGGTTGCTAGCGGAGTAAATAAAATCCAACCAGATCCATGTTCTCTATTCTAATTGGAGTAGAAAAAGAGACAGTTGCCACCCTGCCCCTTAAAACATACAGAAATCCCCAAATAGTTTGAGGATATACTCTTAGGTCAGTAACTGTAGTCCACATCTTTTTCAATCGGATAGGTTATCCAGACAATGGTTCTGATCATAACATTCCCAAAGATGGCAGAGAGTAAATGTTTTTGCTAATAAATTGCAGCGGTCGGTTTTAGAAAGGAATTCACTCACATGACTTAGAAACCAGAAGTGTTTGCAGCGGGAAACTTGGTTAATTACCACCGCCCAGTCCTAGAGCATATTCATCGGGGTGGGGGCCGAGAGGGCCAAGTTGTTGAAGATGAAGGATCTGAGTTCTTGCTGACCATCCGATTTGGCTGGCAGACGTGGACTTCAATGGAAAGAAGGTCTTGGTCATCGGCGCCCATGGGTCTTTGGAGGCGGCCTTGCACTGTCTGTTCCAGAGGAAGGGCTCGCTGACCATGAGCTGCCGCTGGGACGTGCCGCAGCTGCAGAGCAAGGTAAGCTGCTCCCGGGCAGGGACTTCCGCCCGTGAACTGCGCATGTATGTTGGGAAAGAAGAAAAAACCCAGATGTAGAAGCTGAACCTCTACCTTGAGAAGGCAGAGAAAGTGAAACAGGAAAACTCAAAGGTTGAAAATAATAGAACTGAGATGAATGAAGCAGAAACCAGGAGCCCTCATGCCGTAGGGGGTTAGTAAGCATTGCTCTGCTAACTGCAAGGTCAGCAGTTCAAAACCTCTAACCACTCTGAGGGAGAAAAATGAGGCTTTCTATTCCCATAAAGATTTACAGCTTCGGAAACCCACGGGGCCCCTTCTATCCTGTCCAATAGGGTTGTGCTACTCTGGGTGGGAATTGACTGGGTGGCCGTTGAGTTTTGCTGATCAGCAAAGGCAAAGCCTCTTAGGAAAATCCGATGACATTGACACATGATTAGACAAAAGAATCCAGAGATCACAAACAAGGTGAAGGATGAACAAAGGCCAGGATCACAGAAACAATGCAGTTTGTTTGCTTTTCAAAAAAGGCTATAAACCACTGCAGGCTGGCAATTTTGACAATTTGCTTGCCGTGAGCACTTTTCCTAGCACAGTGTGACTTCCAGAATGGACTCGTGTGTGAAACGGGGCCACACGCACGAATAGAGCTGTACCCAGGAAGGGCCTTGGATCCGTCTACCCATCAAACAAACAAGCAGAGGAAAGCCTGACGCTGTAAGAAACCCAGTGGGGTCTGACGCATGATTTACCAAGGAGTCAAAGAAGGTGGAGTTCTAATCTCGCCTCCAGAGACTAGCAAAGGAGGAGCCCCTTGTGCCTCATCTAATGAGGCCAACATGAGGCGAGGATGGGCACTCCCTGCCGAGCGTGGGTGACATGAGCTTTAGCAAATGATTAGAAAGCAATAATCAGATTAAAATGGCGGTCACATATCAGAAAACCTATGATTGCAGTTCAGCACAAGCATCAGCTTAGAAACTACCCAGCACACTAGATGGAGAGACGGGATCTGAGAAACTTTGTTCTCCAGACAACACCCTGGTTTTAAAAACTCTTTCTCTGGCAATCGAAAGGAATTTCTTCACCAGAGAAACTAGGTATAGGTGATATTTGGTTTTAAACGCCTGGTCAAAATTGATAGCCACTATCTCACTTAGTAGTGCGATAACTTTTGATGACGAGTGGAAAACACCCGTCTTTCATACTCAACGACATGCTTATCTGTGTAGACGTCTAATCCGAAACCAAACTCACTGCCATTGAGTCAGTGCCAACCCACATCCACCCTGCAGGACAGGGTAGAACCGCCCTGTGAGTTTCTACTCCTTCCGAGAGTAGAAAGCCCTGCCTTTGTCCTGCTCAACAGTTGGTGGTTTTGAGCCGCTGGCTTTGCAGGTAGCAGCCCAACACAGTAACCACTACATCCCCAGGGCTCCTACCTAGACAGACATCCAAGAGACTGACCATAAGAACCAGCTTGATGGATCATCATGCAAGCATCACTTGATTCTTGATATTCTTGATAGATCATCATGCAAACATCACTTGATTCTTGATATTCTTGATAGATCATCATGCAAACATCACTTGCATGCCTAAACACTAGCAGCAACAAAATGACATGTTTAAAAAAGACACAGTTTATAATACCCATGAAGAAGTATAAGGTACTCAGGCAAAACTTTAGAAGTTACTTAAGATTGTTGGAAAGAAATTTATAATTTCTTGTTCAAGGCTGAGACGTTCCAGTCCTTGAAGATGAATTCTCTCCAAACCAATACATTTGAATAATAGTCTTCACAATATTTAATTTGGTAGACTTTGTCAAACTGATTCTAAAGGATGTGCAGAGAACCAAACATCCTTATGACAATGTTTGAGAAGAACAAAGGGGTACAACTCATCTAATCAGATGGTGTTAAAACACACACACAAACTCACCACCCTCGGGTCAATTCCGACTCATAACGACTCTGTAAGACATGTAGAAATGCCCCTGTGGGTTTTCTGAGACTGTAACTGTCCAGGAGTAGAAAGCCTTTCTTTCTCCCATAGGTTAAAATAACGTACGTCAGTAGCAGTTAGATTGGTGGTCTAGACCAGCACTGTAGACACGGCAGAAGCCTGGGGATAATCCAGACGTTTAAGGGAACTTTTAGGTCGGGGGGTGGGGGGGGGGTGGGGGATTGACTGACAAAAAGCATTGCTTTGGGTGCTTGTGCCGGCGAGTCGGTTCCAACTCGTACCGGCCCTCTGTACCACAGACACACGTCCTGTGCCAGCCTCACACGTGTCCTTATGTGTAAACTCTCCGGTGCCGCCACTGTGTCATCCACCTCGTCGAAGGGCTTCCTCCCAAAGTATGTGAGACAGCCTCTCCATCCTTCATTTATTACCTCTAAGGAGCATCCTTGCGGAACCTCCTCCTAGGCAGATGCGTTTGTTCTTTCTGCAGCCGTGGGGCTTTCAAGGTTCTTTTTCCAGCGCCATAAATCAGATGCATGATGCTTCTTCGATCTTCCTCCTTCAGTGTCTGACTTGCACATGCAGTGGGGCCGTTGAAAAGATCCTGGTTTGGGTCAGGCTCATCTTCGCCTTCAAGGTCATACATAGCCTTGGTTTTCAACACTTTAAAGAGGTCGTGTGCAACCCATTTACCCAGTGGAATGCATCCTTTGATCTCCTTGTTTTTAAAATTTATTTTATTTTTTATTAATCATTTTATAGGGGCTCTTACAGATCTTATAACATCCTTTGATCTCTCGACTGCTGCTTCCATAGATATATATAAACTTAGTTAAAGTGTGTGTATATATATATATATACATATATATGTGTGTGACAAGCGTTTGATATATATATATATATATTTGTTAGGTGCTGTCTAGTTGATTCTAATGCATTGTGACCCCATGTGACAGGGCACAACTGTCTCATAGCATTTCTGAGAATGTAATATAGAAACAGATCACCAGCCTTTTTCTCCAGGGGGTCTCTTGGTGGGCTCAGAGGACAGCCTTCTCAGTGAGATGCCCAGCGCTTCATAGTTGTATCACCAAGGCTTCACGGAAACCGGTGTGTGTGATTGAAATGCTAACTAAGCACAATATACAGAAATCAATTCTCGGTTAAGGACCTAAATGGGGATCACAGAACCATGAAACTTGTGGAAGACAGTACAGAACTGTGCTGTCTTCAGCCTACAGAGAGCCAAAAGGCCCAAATTTCCAGGGAAAAGATACCCTACATGAAAATTTAAAATAAAACCCTGCTTTTCTTTCTTAAATGATTGAAAACCTGAAGAGACAGGGGCAGAAGATGGTTCCCATTCAACACCTGGTTATTAGCAACTAGTAAAAGGGCGCTGAAATCAGCAAGACAAAGAAAACGGACAGATGACATTATTCACAAACAAAAGACAGGCAGAAAGTCGGCAGGGTGCGAGTGGGGGTGGGGGCAGGGTAAAGTTCGCCTGTGGCCTTTCACGTTCCACCGCTTTCTTTGTCGCCAGAGCTGCGCTTTGTCTCCTTTGTCCCCGCTGCAAACTCACCCTTGTGACAAAATTTTGCAGCTAAACATTGGACCAGTCTGTAAGGGGAACAGTCACGCTGGTGAGGTGTGAGCCCCATAGATTCATCAACCATTTGGTCCCAAAAGGGCAGCGTTGACCCAGGAGTGAAGTTCAGAAAGCCAAGGGAAGAAGAAGGGGAAACAGGAAGGGGGTGGGGGACCCAACGTCTGCTGGTCTCCTTGGGCTGTTGATTGACCAGCAAGCCCTCGGGCCTGCTCTATGACGGTCACCACACGGTGGCAGCCTCGTCGCGGACATGCCCGGCCACGCTGATGGCCTTGGCCGCTGGAGGGGAAGAGGAACTTAGGCCTTGTCTTGAACCCGGCAGCTGGGGGAAACGCAAACACTTCCACTGGCAGCCGGCTGTTTTCACAGCTGGGGCCGATACGATTGCTAAGTTGCATCTCTGCCTCGGGAAAAACAAAGGCATTTTTCAAAGTCCTTTTTTACTACAGAAATACACCTCCTGCGCTCTTAGCTTTGCGACGTCTCATTGTGCTGTGAGAATGATCGAGAGGCTCTCCCTTCTAGAAACGGAAACTCCCTGCCATGGAGTCCAGAGCCTTTCCTAGGGACTCTTCGAGCACTGGCTAGAACTGCCCCTGTGGGTTTCCGAGACCGGTCCTCTTTAGGGGAGTGGAAAGCCTCATCTTTCTCCTGGAGTAGAAAGGCTTTGCCCTTTTTGAGCGGCTGGTGGTTCAAACACTTACCCTCTAAAGCAGTGGTTCTCAACCTGTGGGTCACGACCCTTTTGGGAGTCAAATGATCCTTTCACAGGGGTCGCCTGATTCATAACAGTAGCAAAATGACAGTGATGAAGTAGCAACAAAAGTGATTTTATGAATGGGGGTCACCACCACATGAGGAACTGTATGAAAGGGTCATGGCATGAGGAAGGTTGAAAACCACAGCTCTGGAGAATTTAAAATTTAGGAGGCATCTTGTTTTCTGTGTGTTTGGAACTTCGGACTGGATTATAAACCAGCCACCTCGGACACGGTTATATTATCAATTCCAGGTGTGCACAGGGGATACATTAACAAAAGGGCACTGCTTTGCAACAGGTATCGAAATATGGGTGTTTTGTTGGGGGGCAGAGGTCGTAGAACATGCGGAAGAGCTTCTTCAATATGTCTTTACGGACCGGCGTGGAAGGTCACTCTACTATGCATCGTGACAAGCGTTTGATGATCGATAGGATCAGATACACCTGTGAGCCATACGTAACTGTTCCAACTGATGTAGACATTTGATGGAAAGGCAGATTTAGGGATGTAAGTCATTTGTCGTCTGGAACGTTCTTTTTCCTTATTTGACTTCAAAGTATCATCCTACGTTGTTGTTAGGTGCCCCAGAGGCAGCTGTAACCCATAGCGACCCTGTGCACAACAGACAGAAACCCGGTCTAGTCCTGCACCAGCCTCAC